AGGGGGGGGGGCAGGGTATGGGAACAGGTGAGGGGTTGAGCATTCCTGTTTGAAAAATTCAGGAAGGCCAAAGAGCGATTGCATGAATTACCGGCATATGAATGAAATCGAGGTTATTTTAGCGTTTTTGAACTTTTGTGATTTTTCAGTGTTCACTGTTAGCGATGCTGAGCTATCGATGATGGTTCGTCATGGGGTGATCAAGGGTGGTGGTGACGCGGATAGTCGTTTCGCCAGCAATTATGTTGTACGACTTCGTGGCCTGCCGTACAGCGCTACAGCTAACGATATCAAAGAATTCTTTTCAGGTATCTGACTTACTGATTCAAAAAAAAAATCTTTTTAGGTGATTTTTTTTCGAATTTTTAACCATCAAAAATTCATGTTTTTTGTATAGAAATTGCTAAAGATTTTTTTTTTTTTTGCAAAAACGGAAAAAAATTTTTATGAAAATTAAAGAAAAATGTACACACACATGTATTGTTATTATGATGTTCTAAGTTCCCCATATGAATGTAATAGAAAGAAGTCTTAAGTGGCAAAAAAGTGGTAGTTTGGTATGAGAGTGTGGTAATATGCTTTAATGGGAATCATAGGCCTGGAAGTAGCGGATGTGGTAATCGACAAAGAACCGGGGGGCCGACCTTCGGGGGAGGCATTCGTGCGGTTGGCAAGCAAGGAACACGCGGAATTGGCTTTGGAGAGAAGCAAAAACTACATGGGTTCAAGGTATGGGATAATTCAATCATACTACACTCGCTGTTGTTGTGGTTTGTTGGAGGGCTTTTGATCTCTCAGGGCAGGTAAAATTTCGTACTTTTTGTGTGTTGGTATGGTCTTACAGTTATTTTTTTTTAAAAAAAAAGAAAAGAAAAAAAAAAAGAAGAATCAGTGCCGATGCTTTTTTTGACATATTAAGAATTGGGTTTCTAGGCGACATCATCCGGCGTCCGAGTCTTTTTCCGAAAAAAAAAGAAAAAAAACCAAATTTTCCTATTTTTGTTCTGTTTCTGTCCGGAAATTGAGCTGATGCTAAGTCAGACAGACAGTTGTAAAATTGGAATTGGAAGTTTGCCAGATTTTGAATTGAGCAAAAATCTGAAGCTTTTAAGCCTTAAGAGTTTCCTACACTTTGTATGTGTATTTTACAGCGTGATGGTTTCTAGATATGTCGAAGTTTTCCGTAGCTCGGCTGAAGAAATGGAACATAGCTTTTATGCATCACGTGGAATACCACCACCAAGCAGTGGGCCTGTCCCGCTGCGTGGCCTGAGCCCATCGCTTGAGTTTCGTTTTCGTGAACGGTAAGCGTGATTGGAGTGTTTCTCCTTCTTTTTTTTTCTGTATCGTTGCTTTTGACGATTTCACTGTACCATCTCTTCTCATAAGCATTGTGTATTAGTTCATTAATCCCGTACTACAGTCCTTCTTTATCGCCCAGCTCAAGCATAGCATTTTGTCTTCCAGCTTCCTGACGTTTTTACATACTGGTTAGTGGGCTGTACTGATGATTCCCGCTCCTGATTGCACCTTATACTTTCTGTGTTTACAGCTAAGGGATGAAACACAGACAGACCACTTTTCAATATGTCATACGGTTTTGTGCCACATGAGCATCTCTTCTATCTTTTTCATCATAACTTATTAAACTAATCTCACCTAAAATTTTTGAACTGAAGCCGTTCCATATTTTCCATGCTTCGGGCCGTTCAGTGTTAGAGTTCGGCCTAGCAAAAATTATTTTAACAAACTTATCCCACCTTTCGTTTTTTAACTTTCTGACTCTGGCCGCTCCGTCCACTTTTTTTAAGATTACGATTCGGCCCTCTAGTGGCCGAAATTTATTATTCAGAAAAAGTAGCCTGTTCTGGCATAATTCTTGTCTAGCAACGAAAATGGGAGTCGGAGATAGCTCTACAGTCTGACATTTTTGTCCGCTTTGTTATGTTTCTATGTGTTTTGTATACAGTTCTCTTCAAAGTCTATAAATACATGAATTTCTTCGGGCGCACATAGAATTTATCGACCAAACGTGGCTTTAAAAAGTATACTTATTTTAGCTATAGTTTTTTAGGGTATCCCCCTTACTGTCGAGTACTAATTTCCCAGGTGAGGACATCAAATGCGGGGGAGGGGGTGGGGGCGGGGAGGGGGAAAGATTGAAATGAGTTTAAGATTACTGAAAATTTTTGCGCAAAATGCCTATTTTTTTCATTTTTTCTTTAATTTTTTCTTTTTTTTTAGCTACGGTGGAGAATATCCAGGTCGTTTTGGTGGACCCATGCGACTTTCAAGCGTACATCTCCGTCCATCACCATACGAACGACCATTTATGGACAGAGAGCGTTATCTACGATATGGCGGACGCTATGAGCCGGAATTTGAGGATACAATGTATGATCCGGCAAAAGTGTTCATGCGAGGTATTCGAAAGTCGTGCGCGACATTTTCACTTTTTCATGACTGTGACATTTGCATAATGGTCAAAGTAATAACTAGTCGTAGTCTATGAGAGGAAGTCTTTAGCTCACACATGCACAGAGAATATCCAAGCAAAGTGCCAGCGCTCTACCTTTTTGTTTGTCGAGATCGCTTTCCCGTCAGAAAATCTGCATATTTCTTTAAGACATCCGCGTTAATCTTAGCCTAGGAGAGGCATACTTTTTGAGACCCCAGGTGCTGATGCTTGACGCACATCAGATGCATTCTGAGAAGCCTTGCCATGTATTTCGTTAAGTTGGTAATCCCTTCAGGAAATGGAATGAGTATCAGGATCGCTAGCAGGTTGACTGTTTAAACACCTGATTTTGCTCGTACATGAGTAGGAAAGGTTCTCCTAAAGTTTCAGCTTTCTGGCTTTCCCCATTCCTGGGTCAGTAATTTTCGCGCCAAGATTTCCACGCCCTCATATGTGGGCCGTAAGCGCTTCTAAACACCTGATTTTGCTCGTACATGAGTAGGGAACTAAAGCAGTTTGGAAAAGCTGCCAGTTGCAGGATAGAGAATAAGGCTATCTGGTGCAAGCTTTTTGATCCTTTTAACTGTTATGAAGAGAAATGACTGCACAAATGCCCCTCCCTCCTTGAAGAAGACAGTTTGCATACGTAGTAATGGAAGCCTGAATGTGAGCTGGATAGATATGCAATTAAAATTAAAAGGCCTTCGATTTTGTGATGTACCTCAGTTGCAATCCACACGGACAGTTCAATCATAGTGTTTCATCATGACTCCCTCCTAGATAGGGCATGAACAAAGACGTGAAGCTGCCTATATAAGGCCGATGTCTCTATGTTAATGTTGTATTTTGTTGTGCTGATGGCTCCGACCACCAATGAAGGACACGAACTCTTCAACAGCCCGAATCATTACCAAGGAATCGACGACCCAACCAACGATCCGAGGAGACCTCGGAGCACCGGGCCAGCGGACATTAGACCTGGAAACCCCCAGCCCGACATTAGTGGACACTGATTGGGCAGTACTGGTTACTTTGACGACTTGTATGCCGAGCTGAACTTCTTTTTCCAGGGCTTCCGTATAGCGTCACAACACTGGACATTGAGGAATTTTTCCGACCACTCAATTGCGTTGAAATAAAATTGGGCTATAACGAAGAGCGCCGTCTTTCTGGCGATGCTTTGGTGACATTTTCGACAATGGCGGAAGCGCGTGAGGCTCTGACACGCAATAAAAAGAATATGGGAACTAGGTAATTTTTGCTTAGCAAAAACCCTTTGGAGTTTAGAAGTTTTTTTTTACAAATGGCATATTCTTGCTTAAATTAAAAATAAGTTAAATGGATATGGGTTATGGCAAAGGCAGAGGGGGCGAAAGTGGAGCGAGAGAAGTGGATTTATATAAAAAGTGGTTCTGACGAAAAGGAAACGTCAAATCCGGGGTATTTAGTGAAAATGTGGGAAGTACCATGGAACAGATGAGCTAGAGAGATTTCTAGTAAGCATGTAGTTTTATTTGGATAATATCTACACTGATAGCTTGAGCAGTTGTG